TCTTTCAACTGGTCCAATGTAGGCGGTCTTGTTTTGTACACTCGCCGCTTCAGATAGTCCAAGAGAAAAAAGTCCATGGGTTCAAATCTGGTGAGCGAGCACGCCACTCCGTTGGTCCACCACGTCCGATCCAATGGTGGTCCAATTGGTCGGTGAGGTAAGCACGTTCCGTATTGGCAGAATGTGCAGGTGCACCATCCTGCTGCCACCAAATGGTACTGTATGTCCCTTCAGCCTCCAACTGGGGAAGCACAAATGTCTGCAGAATTTCCAAATACGACGATGCTAGGAAAATATAAGGCTTTAGTACTTCAAAACAACAACCTACCGGTCACATTTCCGGAGAAGAAATATGGGCCTAAGATTTTCTGACTTGTTAATCCAGCCCAAACCATCAGTTTCCCACTGCTGTGTATATGTGATGCGGTAAATTTTCGTGGGTTGCTGGTAGCCCAAGAGTAATGTTTCATTGTTCCATGCAGATTGTTCCATGCAGATGTAAAGATAACAGAACGAATATCCCCGTGATCCAGAAACCAGTGGCAAAATTCATGCCGCTTCTCCGGATCGCATGGGTTCAAAACCTGCACTTGAAGTGCACGGAATCTCCGAAATTTTCGTTCCAGTAATATCCGGTGTATCGCATATCGGGTCGTGTCACAGTGCTGTGCGATCCGACGGATGCTGAGATCGGGACTTTTTGACACTTCACTGACTACAGCGCAAGCTGAACAGTTGTCCGTGGTGATGCGAGGCGGTCCGGTTCTCTTCATGTCACACACACTCCCAGTTTGCTCGAACTTCTTCACTAGTTTAAGCACATACCGGGTGGTGACGGGACGCATTCCTGCGTTCATTGCATTGTATTTTCTTGAAGCTGATGCGGCGTTTAAACCGCATTCACCGTACAGCCGAATAATCAGCGCGCGCTGAGTAACAGGAACGTTACGTGATCCCGACTGCATTGTTTGCTCATGTTCCATTACCTGGATCAATAATATTGACAACAGTTGCAATGCCTAACCTCGTCCTCAGCTGAGCTGCCATCACGTGCGCACATTCACGTGGCAGTTTTGTTTGCTTAGGCGGACCACTGGGTAGCCAGTGAGACACACAAAGATAACCATCGATCGCTCCAATGCCTACCGTTGGCCATGACCTTCAGCACTCAGCGCGAATTTAGCTGACAGCTAGCGAACGTTAGAAAAACGTTGTGGCTGTCTGTAGAGCATTTTGTTACCTAAATTACTCTATTGTGGATCACTCCAAGCATGCCTTTCAACAGCATTTGTGTATCAAAATGGACCTAAGTGAGCGACCATATTTTACTTTTCTCACTCTTTACACTAACGATCACTGCACCCCAGTGTCTCTCTGAACGTTTACGCTCGATAAATTTTTTAATTGTACACAAATTTTACTTGTCAAAGTATTCATTTCGGTAGACGTTCGATAGATGACCCAGACATATTTTGATTTCATCATATTCACCCCAACCATCTTTCGGGACGCGTCAAGCACTTGCTTTTATTCAGTGATGCTGCGATCGGGAGTTTTTGACACTTCACTGACTACAGCGCAAGCTGAACAATCGTTCGTGGTGATGCGAGGCGGTCCGGTTCTCCTCGTGTTACACACACTCCCAGTTTGCTCGAACTTCGTCACTAGTTTAAGCACATACATCGTATTTTCTTGAAGCTGATGTGGCGTTTAAACCGCATTCACCGTACAGCCGAATAATCAGCGCGCGCTGAATAACAGGAACGTTACGTGATCCCGACTGCATTGTTTGCTCATGTTCCATTACCTATGGATCAATAAGATTGACAACAGTTGCAATGCCTAACCTCGTCCCCAGCTGAGCTGCCATCACGTGCGCACATTCACGTGGCAGTTTTGTTTGCTTAGGCGGACCACTGGGTAGCCAGTGAGACACACAAAGATAACCATCGATCGCTCCAACGCCTACCGTTGGCCATGACCTTCAGCACTCAGCGCGAATTTAGCTGACAGCTAACGAACGCTGGAAAAACGTTGTGGCTGTCTGTAGTCATCTCGCCCGAAGATCAACAGCCTCATGTAGGTATGTCTTTAGAGGTTAGGCTTTTTCGCAGCTGAGCCATGCACTAAAACACTCATCTGCCGAGAATTCCATACGTCCGCCCCACTGAGGTGAGAGAGAATTTCATGTCTCTGCACGCGCAGTAGCATGTCGCGAATTTCGCTAAACATTGAATGTTGGGGACAACAACCGTAATTGACCGGCGTTCACCATAAGGGAGCCACGGTAGGTAAATGAACGCTAATCGGTCTTCTTCCATCAGACTAACCGTAGTCAAGGTGATGGGCGCGCATTTTTGGGTTGCTCCACATTGGATTCAACTTGGTATGCTTATAGCATGAGTTGAATATTCTTATGAAAGAACGTGATTTGCTCAAGGAGGGTCTTGTTTCTGTTGACCTGGAAAAGGTATAGTGACCGGCTCAAGACCGAGCGCATATTGCACTGGCGATATGAAAACAGTTAGTGTGCGCTTTCTACTCATACCGGATGGTGCACGTATGGCGACTATTAGCAGCGGACGTGTTTTGAGGATTTTCACGTCGCCGATTCATCGCTTGTTAAGCGTGGTCACCATTTTATATATTCAGCGCTGTGTTAGTTAACTGCAATTTATTCCTCCATGGATGGGTTCTTAAAGCAACAGTAGAACTAGTTTGCGACAACCCAGGGCTCACCAATGTCAAACGCCTACTTCAACGCTGGTCGGCCTCATCTCCCGGCATGGATCATTCGTGTGCCTGTCCACTTGTTTATTTTCGGTTCCAACGCTACTTACCATGTTGCCTATACTGTGTGACTCAGTGTCCGATTTCCGGTTCATCCAGGTCCTACCTCGTTTTTACTGTTATGCACAAGGACCCCCTATATTCGGCCTTATTGATATGATACTGTTTACCTTGATTTGATCGATTTGTGTGATCCTCAAAGCTAGTACAGCTAGTGTACCAGTTCCGGCCGCAGCAAGTTCCATTGGCGGACGCATACCTATTACCGTTGGCTCATTTGGATTCTTACCATAAGCCCTGTGTGTCTCACTTTGATTCCATTGTGCTCTTTTTGCACGCCTGGACACACGGGCCGCTCGTGGATCTGAGCATCAATCGTTTACATATTTTGAGTTTAAAAATAGTTAAGGTAACCTCTATTTTGATAAGATGAATTTGTACAAATAACAGTTTTCTCGGATCCGGACTTGATTTTCTGCTGAATATTCTGGTGGGATACGCGTGACTTAAGCTTCCAAACACTTTGTAGCGTTACAGCAAGGAAGGAGTGTACGTTGGGAAAACATGCAGCAATGTCGACCAACGTCTTGGCAAAAAAACGGCGAATATACTTTTATATCTAGGAAACAAAAGAACAAAAGCCAAAAGGGAGCAGGCGGCACTGAGAAAACATGTAAGAATGGGAAAACAGCACAGATAAAAGTTCGGTGGTGCGAGTTCATCGTGAACAGGGGGAAGAGGGTAAATGCAATTTGCATGAGAGCACTTGGTAAGGTAGCTTGATCAAATGTCATCACATGGTTGACTGGAGATGTCCACTGGAGTTGAATGTAAACAAAAGACGTCCACATCCGGTTGGTCTAGCTCTGTGTTTGATCCAGTGGTAGTGGATAGTTCGGTAGTGCTGTCTACTACCCAGTCAACATTATTCGTTTGGCCTGACGGGATCGTCGACTCAGAATCACGTACCGTAGAAGCTTCACTTATATCTTGCGATATTGCTTCTGATCGCGTTCCCTGACCCGATGCACGCAGTTCCGGAATAAGTCTTTCGACAATGTCGGCAAGCAAAGCGCGCGCAACTGGTGGATCCACGCAGACTGGCTGCAAGCCCAACATGGCACGCAATTGCGTGAATCGCCATTCAAGTTCGTCCGTTATCAATGAACGTAATGCATTCACTTCATCGTTTTTAAATCTACACGCGTCTAACTCAATGCATCGCTGTATGGCGGTATCTAGAGTCCTCTGCACAGATTTCAGCGCCTCCCTTGCGGACTGGAATCGATCCGGACCAGCGGAGTTAGAAGAGGAATACTGAAAAGTTAACGAAAGGTTTTAGTAGCGAAGGCCGAATGGATGTGTGGAATAAGATAAGAACAAATGATCACATTGTGGAAGGCAAAATCATGATCCCAGTACATTGAAGGTCCTTTTGCAGCAGGGCATTCAAATTTGGCCCTAGTTTACGATTCCTGCTTGTGGAATTTTTCAGCACACACCTTCACAATAGTTATTTTCATTTATAAACTTTCTTGTCATGTTCATCACTTGTCTGTGATGTTAGTCTAGTCGCGCGACATCTAGAAACCTCTGTGTTTCTACACATGTGAATTGGACATTATCCAAAAGCCGTGTTATAAAAAACAAAATGAAAAGAATTTATAACAGTTGTAACAATAATGTACCAAAATATCGTTCTGGAGGAAGGGTCGCACTTCGAAAGAAAATCTCAGAGATCTAAGCGTGCCTGTATTGGTTAGCATCAACATCCGTTCGCTCGTTGGAGAAGTAGATGAACTTTTGTGTACAGTTTCTTCCAAAGAATTTTTGCAGTTAGGCATCAGTATGTTGCAAGAAACCTGACTCCATGAAGAAGTGGACAATGTTATCAAAACATCGGGTTAACTGCAAAATGGCGTAGGTTTTCAAATTTAGACAGAAATAATTAGTAACAAAAATTAAGTAAAGCTGAAAACTGCCAAATTATAAAATTCAGCTGTCACGAATTGAACAAAATAGATGGTTTCGCGGGTGCCTACTGATAATGTATAAGCTACTCATTAATTAGCAGTAGAAGAGTTCACTGTCGGGAATTTGGAATTCACGCACGTTATCTGTCAAGGTATCAAAGTACTATGATATCCTATTTTCGCCACACAAAGTAAACGTACAGCTTCGTATACAGCGTCCCAAGCTGTTTATAGAGGGTGATGGATTACACTGTGCTACATCCATAAAGTACCTAAATGTGGTACTGAATTATGATTTCATGTTAGTGAAACTTTCATAAAAGTCCGAAGGTTGTGTTTCTACGGCTCTCGTGAGTTGATCCTTTGCTTTGTCAGTGCCTTCCCTACTGGACGTGCTGCTCCCCATGAATCTTCCCTGTCTTCTCGGTAAGCACTAAGTTAATGTTCAGGACATTACGGCACTTATCCGGATGCAGCGGCGTTCCAGTGCGTACGTTATCAACACACTTCTGTCTATACACACCAACTGGCACATAAGATTCTGGCCGATGCACATCAATCTCTTTATAAGGTTTTAACTGAATGTCTGTCAAGTTGCTCTACTAGGCAGAAGTATAAGTTGCTATATACTCATACACAAGCATAACGCTCGTCAGTCATGCCTTATCTTTCGCGTTTTCTGCGGGACCCCAGCTCTGTCACTCTAGACCAAACTATCACATTCGCAGTATGATGGCTTTTCTGTGCGTTCTATATCAAACCGAGTTGTTGTACTTTTATGTAACTGTTTATTTTCTGGTACATTTCCGAGATCGTACGTGTTGTAGTCGAATATTCACCCGCCAAAGGTGCATAAAGCAGCTTTTGACCTGACTTGAATAGAATTATGACAAGGCAAACTCACGGAGCCTGTTTCCAGACGATGCGGATTTGAACTAAAGTACGTTCCTTCTGAACAGAGCCTCGATGTAGTGACAGTAGTTCGTTCACTGACGGAAGCTTCGATTTTCGACGGAGCATGGGAGGTTTTGACATTCCCCATCTCAAGCGCAAGAATTGATGGACGTGAAATGATTAATTCGCATGGTCGGGTCGGACGATTACTGGACGAGCAAGCTGAATCAGTAATAGAGCGCCCCAACACTTTGTCGCATTCAGGAGTCTCATCGGGGGAAAAGGGAATAGGGGACCATCGTGCGCGTGTGGGCTGTGAGGAAAGCGGATATGGAGACTGGTCTCGGGAATCAGACGGTCGTATTCCATGTTGGCACAATGTGTCACACGAATTTTCACCGGGCGCTGAGACAAGTGGATCAAAATGGCTTGAGTTGGAAAGAGGAATTCCACAGCTCAGTCCACGGTCGTTCCGGTGGCTCTCTGCGGGATGAATAAGGGGATGTTTTTCCGCCGCTTGGTATAACGACGGAGAGTGGCCTGAGACTGTCCAATACGGTGCTTTATTGGTGGCAGTCTCTGGGCTTGAAAAGATGCAAGAAGCATTTGCATCGTTTAGTGCATTTTCAAAATAAACAGGAGGCGAAAAGGTTCGTAGTTCAGTCAAAGAGAACTCAGAGGAATGCGGTTGTTCTGAGGCACACGAGATCTCGGTTCGTAAAGACCTTCCTTCAAGGATTTGTTTCGAGGAACCTAAAGTAAGGGAATGAAAACGATCATTGAGTCATAGACGATGGGCCGTAGAACCGACTTTGCCAAACCGTGCAAATGAGGAACGATATGGCCACAAATAGATTAGATGGCGATAATATGTGCGGTTGAGAAGAGCCAAAAGGATTAAGAGATAAACTAGCAAAGTAAACATCCTATAAGACATGCAAATAAGTTGTCCACCTAAGATCGAAGTGCATGATAACAGATCGCAAGTACGGTGCAGTAATATATAAATGAAGATCTAGATACCTTGAGTAGCAAGTTGTTTCATTCGTGGGTCATTGTGCACCAACTGTAAAGAAGAATGAACGACTGCTTCAGAGGTGAATGCGGTTGCGTTTTGCAAAGGTGTATACTTCTAATATTTCAGCCCAGTTGTGGTAGGTGCGTTGTGACGGTAAAATCAACCTCAACTTCAATACAGCGCACAAAGCGTAAATACCGGACATCACATGTGGTGACGAGGTATAAACAGTAACCGTGAAACGCATCGATGGATTCCATCGGTAGACAAGGACAGTAGAGAGGGACCAATCGGTGCAGTACATGAGATAAAGCAATGAGCCGAAGCTAACCAGTGGGCGTGTAAATACAGGGAAGCGCCGAAAGTAAGATAGTAGGTAGGAATAATGGTACAGCGAAGACTAGTAGGTAAGTAAAATAAGTAAAGTTCCGAGACCACATGAAGTGGAAATAACACGTTACGTAACATCAACATGTAAGCACGAATGAGGCGATGAAGCAAACACGTAGTATGGCACAAAATATGTTAGTAGGCGGTTGATCCAGTCATAATGATAGCGGAAGTGTAAGAACCCACCACTGCGACAATGTAGACTGACCGCAGATACAGTGATTGGCATAAAACCGAAGTAATGAATGAGCCTGATAATTAGCACCGAAGCTACGACCCTAAAAATTCCGAGGTTTCCCTGGTCCATCAACACCCTGTGCCAATGCAGTACCACCACAGAACCAATCGACAAGCTTTAGAGGTCAGAACCAATAAACGTGCAGAGTAGCTAGAGATTTTTCAATCTGCGACATCTGTGAGAACAGAAGAGGGTTTCGCTCTGGTTGAAAAACTGTGTTTAGAAGGCCACACTGAGCGCCAACCTACCCTATGGTAGCGAAACTTACGACGTCTATAAGCCTTTGATTATCGCTGCCTGCGAGTCATTGCTGGGGTCGGATGGCACTAGCGTATCCGAAACGATGATGTACGTAAGCGAGTGTTAAATAGTGATGACCAGGCTAGAAAGCATTGAATAACTTGTGTTGACTTCGGCAGGCACCACGTATGTCCGATCACCGTTTACCAATGAGGGTTTTGTTTGGTTTGCCAGATGTAGGATGGCGCAAGGCTCGATGTGAGCAAAAGTTAACTTGCGATTATGGAATGAACTCGCTGGCTACAAAACTTGGTGTCGTTGGACATGCTCGCACTCCAAGATGGAGTCCACCTGATTGGCTTTTGCTTCACTCGACAGGTTACAGGATTTGGTTCACAGTCGAGACAAGCTGAGTGTCTGCTGTCGTGTTCTGGTCAGACTGCTGATTATGAAGCGGGGCAGTGAAAATTGCAAGGAAGGTCTCAAGCTGATGCCGCCTTATCTTTGCACGATAGCCAGTTGTTTGTGACGGTATGCCGTTGACAATGTACAGGTGCCTTGGACCTGAATATTTGCTTATGGCATATAGGTTTTACGCTAGGTCCCGCTTACTTCCCACTTATTATTCTTCATTCTGTAGATTGTCGCGGTTGTACGGCAGCGAAGCATCAGTTCAAATGGCTAATGTATTGCTGCTGATGATAACGACCGATGGGGAATAGTCAAACTTTACTCCATGCAGGTTTTGAAACTCGTTTCATTAGTTAGTTTCGTTTCCCGGAAGACCGAAGGCAGCTCTACGACAGTCGAATTTTCCTTTCCATGAGGACCTTGGCCAGCAATAAGCATTCAGGCTCCTGAGGATCTACTGTTGATCAGTGATGCGCCAGGAACATCTCCAACATCTGCATTATTTATGAGTAGGGAGATTCACTAAGATTTAATTGGATTATCGCGATTAGGCGGCAAGCCAGACAAGTAAACTATCAATTCAGGAAGCACCAGGTCATCGTTTCTCGCTATCGGGGTTCACGCATTCTTTCAGTTCCTTCCAGGGGACCGAAATCATGACCTCTGGTGGCTTGCACCACAGCCAGCAGCTTATGCCATTGATCCATGAGGGACGACAACGGACCATCATGAACTGCTATATAGCCCGACTCATCCTCCACTGCCATGCAGGTTACTGTCCGTGCAGAAGACAGTGCTTGGCCCTTGCCTTACCAGTAGCCGTGACTCTGCACAGCATTTTCGAAGACTGTTAGGGCAAGGGCAATGATTATTTTTACAAATACAGGAAGGATTAGCGGTTGACCTACTTTGCTTGCGGTGAACAAAATAAATTTCCATTACTGCTTCCTCCCCTTAAACTATTTAGATGGCAGGTTTTGTGTTGGGATCGGATGATGCTGATCAGGTCAGCCGGGACAAAGCGATGCCAAAGAAGTGTTTTGCAGCTATAACTCCAGTAGCTGATATTTTTTTTACACAAAGGTTTCAACTTATAAATTGAATCGATTCCAGCTATATGAAGTTGTGGATTCTCCCAAGGTGAAATGGTTCTGTGAAACTAGCGTTTCCGAAAGCTATTTGATAAGATAATTGTTCAACAAGCAAACCAACATACAGTTTAAGTAACTGGTGAAACCTCTATTCTCCAAACTCCAACCAACTCTACCGAAGTATAAAACAGTGATGGAATGCGCTGACTGGGGTGAGCAACACACAAAATATCTCTGATGGAAAACAAAACCAGTTGTGTTAAAAGAGTGTTAAGCCACGCAAGTTGTTGACCATGGATGTCTGCTGATTTCAGCTTGCACAGTCGACCTGACGTCTCACTTTCATATATCCAAGGCATTTTCATTCCACAGAGAAGGTATCTAGTTACCAGGTAAGCCACAGATACACATATTCACTAGAGTCGTAGATGACATAGAATGCTCAATTGAATGCAACTACCAAGAGAACTATGCCGATCGTGCTAATATGGGCGTTCGCGTATCTGATCATCCCTAAGCTAAACCACAAAGGTTGCATGGGTGCAAAAACTTCTAACTCCTTCATACTTTAATGTTGCAGACTCAGTCCCTCAGGGACAATCGTTTATTCGGCAAAAACAAATCAGCGAAATTTACAGCATGTTTGGCAAGCCAAACTCTTCGATATAGATTGCCCGTTCACGTCCATAACTAACGACCCACCTGAGTCGACGAGGTTCCTCTTTTGATTCAAACAAACGGTGAGTAACTCACACCCATGTCGGCCAGTCCGTGTCAGTTAATCGAATCCGTTACGCCCGTCTCGCATTGGCTATGTGGCTCGCACGTTGGATCCATCCGTTCAATCTTATTGCATATTACCAGCACAGGTGGTAATAACAGACGTAGACGCAAACGACTGTCTTTCGTATACACATCGCCAAATCCGGCACATCAATTGAAAAAAAGCAGAGACGACTGCAACAGAAGGGCCTGTTCGTAGTTGCTATTCGATATCCAACGAGGACAATGAGGTGGACACGTAGGTGAAGAGTGTCGCCCCCCTTAACTCGTTTTCATCGAATCTGCTAAGCCACTCAGTTAGTTGGTGGATCTCTGGTTGAAGCCAAGCAAATCGTGGCTTCCACAGGCAAAAGGAAATTGTTCTCTGAACTTGAACGGATTTTGTAATGACCACGGCACCCAGTCAAAATCCAAGCCTCTATAATCCATTCAACAGGGAAGCCGATCGTGGAATACCGCACTGATAGCAAGCAACATTACTAATAGTGATATTTACCATGATTCTTATCCCAGTTTTAGACAGAACTATGGAGGTATGTATCCCTTCGTTAATCTTACCAACCTGCTTCACGACTTCAATTTGAGGAGGTGGGGATGGGACTAGCTGAGTATTGTGGTACGCCAGCAGTGCTACGCTTAAGAATGCTGAACACAAGCGGCAATTAAGAAATCCAGACAAAGTATCGATACCCAAAGAGGAACGATGTCTCGTTTGAGTGCCAATGTCAGCCAACTGAAAACTGAAGCTACCGAACCTACGATGCTACCAGTAAGTCAGAAGAAGCAGTGTTCAGGTGTGACAAAGTAATCTGACAGCAAATGAAGCCAGATAGACACAGGCATTTGATCCGTCAGTGGATATCGACAACTATCAACCACTAAAGCCAATTAAGCCAAAATACACGAAACAGTAGAGTCAGAAGACGTACTTGATCCGTTGCTGGAAAGGTAAGATACCGAGCAGACTCTAGGGCGCGATCGGGGAATTGATTTGGCACAGAGGTAACCCTGTATGAATAATTGTCAGAAAAAAGTGCGAAATCAGCGAATAAATGAGATTACTTGACGAAAATACAGAATCCCATGCCCGTAATTAGGTACGAGGAATCATACCATTGCGGCATACTGTGTACAGTAATGAGCGACGATGGATAACAGCGAGCGACGAAACTGAAAACAACATAATGAAAGAAAAACGTTTGCCAGAAGCGAGACACATGCACACGGAGATATGTTTCAAATACTGGAACACACGTAAGAACGGAAGTGGTAGTGTTAACCTATGAACGCCACCAACAAGACTGCGAAGCGTACCGAATGGCGAAAAAATGTGAACTTGTTTTATCGTCAATGGAAAGTTTGTCCGATGAACGGCGATAAGTTCGGCGATAAGCAGGTTCACCAATTAACTCCATCCAATCTTTTGATGAGATCGAAACAAGATGGAGTGTAGTGCGATTAGGTTGGAATAGGAAGGCATGCAGAGGAGGAACATACTCGTGGTACAAGGGAGATTAGATGGTAATGCCGGTGAACAGACGAACCACCGGAAAATTGTGAAGTTGGAAATACGTAGTCCAGGAGCAAATGGAAATAAAAGCGAAAGCATCAGAGAAATCGAAAACCCAGTTAGTTGATAGTGGCAGACAAAAAGCCGATTCGAAATTATCGATGTCTTACGTGTGAAATGGCAGTTAACCTTTGAAAAGACAGATATGCTTGACTAGGAAACTGCAAATTCAAGCCGTCTACAATGCTGGATCAAAGAAGCGTCATCAAAAGATAATGCCCGTCCAACTTCTATGATGCATATCAGAAGGCGGAAAAGGAATTAAGAAATTATTGAAAGCGGAAGGAAAAATCTGAGTGCCAGTCATGAGAAGCATAGGTAATTGCAGAAAGGTGCCCAGTCGCGACTGAAAAACGACAAGGACAACGCAGGTCTATCGCACTCCAAGTAGGTGCAGACTGAGGAAAAGAAGTAAATGGTATGCCTCACGATAGCATGAAACCAGCACACAGTAGGAAAAGTAAGTCTACTTCCGGTGATGTATCGCGGACGATTCACTGGCCCACAAGAAAGTTGAATCAGATGGATCCAAAGTAGTGCTGATCAGATGAAGACCATATTCGACCGCCAGGCTTTTGAAAGAGCTAGTGGTTCTCTTTGACAGAGAAGGGAAAAAGCAACTGCATATTGCTGGACAGTTAATCGTTATCTGATAGTGGCATTGTTAGTGAGTCACCTGGTTGTGCGGTAGACGTCACTATTCTCGCCGTCGATAATACCTGTTCTGGAATAGAACGAAACACTTAGCCTTCACAAACTCCCTCTGTTGTGGCCTGTGACTGGTCTAGCTACTCTATAAAATTCCACATTAATATCTGAAGACACCAAAGTTCATCATCATCATTTTCATCCTTTAAAATGTACAATGAGGTTAGATCAAAGGCCATACAAAAAATAATCTTAGCGCCTAGTTACGCAAATCACCCAGAAGTACTACACTGTAGTCTGCAGACAAGATCTGCTACGGTTGCCTGAATTAAATCAAAGAGCACCTGCAATCTGATCGATAACACCAACGCAACTTATTCAGTGCTATCTGTTGTTCTATGGAGCTAGCATGATTATCATTACCTAGTACTCGCCTAAGCACATCATCGTTGCGGACACGCTGGTGACATCCGACAACAGCAATGCTTCGCAGACAACAATGATCAAAGACTTGAAGGCGCCTCAGATCTTCAGACCGAAGGGGCCAAGTCTCACTACCATAGAGCAGAACGGCCCTCACTGTGGCCTTGTATACCCGGCGTTTCAGGCAGAGGGAAACTCCCTTCTGTCGTCAAAGATGTCGCAGGTTCAAGAAGTCTGCTCTGGCCTCTGCAATGCGTGAGCTGACGTCAGTTGATATGCACCCATCGTTGCTGATGCAACTGCCAAGATAAGTGAAATGATCAACCACCTCGAGTTCTTAGTTAGCAGGCGTCAAGGGTCATCAAGTCGCTGGTGGTCCAGCAGCAACACTTTGCACTTTGAAGGTGCGAAACGCATACCAAATAATGGGACGACTCTGGATAGGCTGTTCAGTTTTGATTCTGTCGTCGTAACATGGTCGAAAACAAGAAAATATCGTCCGCATAATCAAGATTAGCTAGTCTTTCACCAGGCAGCATTTCAACGCTTACATCGTGAGATTCCGCGACGGAACACCATGATAGAATCCACGACGAAATTGAACAAAAACGGGGAAATCGGACAACCGTGACGAACGCCACTTGTGGTCGGGAAGCTATCCGAAAGGACACCGTAGACCTTGACGCGGCCTGTAGTGTTCGAGTATAGAGCACGAAGGATGTTCATATACTTCGTGGGAACACCTTTTCGCGCAAGTATTTCGAACAGAATCGATCGATCGACTGAATTGAACGCACTCTTGAAATCGAGGAACACAGGTATTGTCAGTCTGCGGTATGCATGGCGCTGCTCTAGCACCTGTCGCAAAGTGAATACATGGTCTATGCAGCCACGTCCTGGGCGGAAACCGGCCTGCATTTTCTAAATCCGAGATTCCCGTTCCAGAGTGATGCGACGAACGATAATATAGGAGAATAATTTTGTCACAACTGGCGTTAGGCTAATACCCCTGTGATTAGAACAGGCTGTGGGACTGCCCTTCTTGTATATTGCCATTATAATCGATTCGCTCCAATTAGCCGGGACACTCTCTTCCTTCCAGATACATTCGAATAAGGATGTCAGTGCTTTGGAGAAGACCTCACCTCCATCCTTAAATAGTGCAGGTGAGGGCGAATCCAGGCCAGCGGCACGAAAACGATTGAGGGCTGTGATCGCGTTTCGGACCTCGGCCTCCGACGGAGGCTCTAAGCTAACCGTCCATGGCTCGTCCTGCATCACCTGAGTAGGAAGAGGCCCGGGAGCAGGGGGCCAGCTGAACTGATCTTGAAAATGTTCCGCCCAACGAGCCATACAGCGCTCCTTATTGTGTATCAGCGTACCCGCGCTGTCTCTGATTGTCTCACTGACGCCTGGTTTTCTCGGACCAGTGGTGCGGATTAGATGGAAGAGCTTGCGGTAATTGCCTACTGCTCCTGCCTCCTCCATTTCTTGAGCCCTACTGGTCCACCAGGCTTCCTTGTCAGCACGTAGGCTCCGCTTTAGTTCACGCCTAATAGCCCGTCTGGTCACATTGTGTTCAGAGCCCGCCGGGAGGTGTCTTCTAGATTCCAACAGGTTCACCGACCTCTCGGATATCCAGTGACTGGTGCGGTGACGATGGATAGTGCCACAAGCAGATGCTCGTGCGTCGTGTATGGCGGCCGAGATCCTATTCCACTGAAGCGAGTGTCATTAAACCAAGACTGCGAAAGTTCAGTACGCAGTGTGTCTTGATAGGCTAGCCTCACCGAGGGCTGAAACAATTTCTCAGTTTAAAGCGCTGAGTTCCCTTGATCATTCTAAAAAAGACAATGAGAAGTCTGGTATTGCGAGATGGAACCATTTCGTGTTATCTGCTCACTCGCAAACTAACAACATGAAGATGAATCACGTGACAGAAAAATTGAAGATTTGAAACTGGTCACAAAGGAAAATTACGTAGACGCAAAAATAACAGATCAGCGAGCTTGATCTAAGGGTCATGAGCCCCAAGGAACCTTCAGGGAGACTGTTAATTGTTTATGTAGACACAGGATAGGGCGATGCCGGTTAAGTGCCACCGCTTCGGCAAGCCTCAACACTTTGGGGTTGTCATTTCGATAGAGAACTGTAAATGTTGACCTAGGGTCAACCTGATGGCCTGATTCGAGTAGATATCGGGCTATCGATGATGCCGGCAGCTTAGATACCTTTCCTCGTTTTACTTACGCCAAATTTACTTCGAATTGTCACCGTGCAGTCCCCGTGCCAAAAATGAGACCCACTTAGCTTCGACGAGTGTTGCCGGCCGCCAATCGGTGGTATAGGAGCCCAAACTTCGGCTACCGGTCGCCGAGGAGTGCAAAAATGAAAAAAACTGGTCTTGGGATGCGGTGCGTTGCGATCCGGCAGGATCAAACATTTATCCGCATTGGATACGGTCCCCATGACCAACATAACCGGAGTTCAGTTGAACGTAAATAGCAGCCCATACTGAGACGGCATATCATAATCCATTCACACAACCAGTGCTTCAAAATGCAGAACTTGGTGGAGATTCTAGTTCTCGCTGGTGTCGTACAGAAAGCTGCCGATAAGTTTATTCGCACTGTCTCCTGTGAACGGATCACCGAGCAGGTCACTATGCTCATGAATAATTTTTCTATAGTTCATAAGTGCTTCAGTCATGAACACCGAAAGTGAGGTATCAGCGTAAAGTCCCCTGTGCAACTGCTATGAGTGCTGCCGTCAGGCAAGTACGCATTCCGCAGCCAACAAATAATTGGATGACTGTTTATTGATTGGTCGTTAACAGTCGATGCGCCTGTACTCAAACTGATCCACTTTTCCAGAACACAAAATCGTGTGTCTCGACAAAGTGCCCTTCTTTCGTTCGCGGGTAAACATCCAATTGCTAAAGATCCTAATTTGCGCAAAGGCCTAGTGCGCTAACCGAGATGATACAACTGTGGCGTTGCGGCTGCAGACCACTACAATGGCATTTCATCTTCCACTTCCGAAAGCCTTCTGCTGCGATTTCAGTATCGAAGTTACCGAGAGCGGCTGCAAAACGTCTGTTGCGAATTACCTGAACTTACTACCGTCTACCACCAAAAGTTGAAACATCTCTGTTATGCAATAAAGGCCGACTTTACTGTGACACACTAGAACTTACAAACAGTGGACACGCTTACGAAAGCAAAGGACGTATTGGATTGGGGCGCCCGACCTAATGATTTTGCAGAGTATTGCGAATTCCTACGTTTGAGCTAAGAGGATACACAGCAACTGAAACAATTAGTTCCCTCCGTGAACGGTGCCGAAAAAAATATGTAGTTAATCTAGC